TTTCTAACATTTGTTTTATTAACTTTATTTATTCATTGTGGGGGAGAATTTCTGAAAGTAGTTTTTCTTCATCTACCGAATATTTCCCATTGCTCAAATGCAGGCTGTCAGTGGTACAAACAACTTAACTCACTAAACTATCTCACTGGCCCTGTTTCTACCATTTCTATTTTACGGTCTCCTATTTTCAAACTCTCAACTTCCTTGATGAATTGTCCCTGCACGTTACTGACTCCTTGTGTAGGTCTTAGATAAGGGCTATATGCTTATTTGTAGCCTCTTTGGGGTCACCAATCATCTTTAGTCGTAAACTTGAAAATCTTTCCCTAGCATTTGCCCATTTCCTTTATCTTTTAATTAAATAACTGAGGAGCTGTGCCCTTTTGGGTTTCTGTGATTAAATTTGCACATCTGTTGTGTGCCTATCTCTTCAGTTTTACTTGGCGATGTTTTGATTGCATAGCCTTCTTTGGAGGGCTCAGTTCCTAGGACAACACAGAGAGGAGAAAACAAGTGCTTTTGGATGGGATTTCTGCTTCCCTTCCCCTCGTCAGAGAACCCCATGGCTGAAGCTTGTTCAGTTTAGAGTACTTTTCACTTTCTCTCCATTACTGCTACTACCTTCCTGAGTTTCCAAAGCTCTTCCTCTGCTCTCTTTGAAACACTCTGTTTTTAGTTATTCCGACTCTCCTCCTGGTCACGTGCGCCCAGCTTCATGTCCTCCAGATTACCTGCAACGTACCAGGATTTCTATTTCAAAGACAAAGTACTACATCTTTACATCTGTTAGTGACTGTTGTCTCTGGGTTGTAGTGACATGGCAATTATTTTCAGATCCATTCAGTTTTTCTGTACAGAGTGTTCATGAAAGTTGAAGACTCAGCTCAGCAGTAAACCTCTTCCCTAGCATTTGAAAGGCTCCGGGTCCTGTCCCCGGCACTACAAGTAAATAAATAAATTTCAAGTGAAAAAGATTTTTTTGGTTTTTGTTTGTTTTAAGGCCAGGATTTCTCTGTGTAGCCCTGGCTGTCCTGGAACATCTCTGTAGACCATGCTGGAACAGAGATCCACCTGCCTCTGCCTCCCAAGTGCTGGAATTAAAGGTGTGCGCCACCACCACTCAACTCTCAAATGAAAAATGTGTTAAGGGCTAGAAATGTGGTTCAGCGATATAGAGCTTGTCTAGTATGCTCAAGTCCCCGGATTCAGTTGCTAACACCATAGAATTTTTTTTTTTATAATTTTAAGATCGTGAATTATTTGTGAATTCAACAAAAATATGAGCATTTGGACTGGAACACACTATGTAGATCAGGCTTCTAGAAAGCTGCCCATCTCTGCCTCCTAAATTCTGGGATTAAAGGCTACATCACGACACCCAGCTCAATACGTTATATTTTATCTGAGTGACTGATATTTTTCTGTTGGGAGTTGGTTGGGGAAATCAAATTTTCAGCCATCCTTTGGGGGAATCTCTTTGTGGGTGGAAAACTGTGTAGCTGTATAATTGCCAGGAATTTTTAGCTATAATAAAATGTCCTTCACTCTACAAGCACCAGAATCTGTTAATAGCCCTCCATGTTGGGACCATGATCCCTTGAAGAAGTGGGTACTCAATGCATGAAGTCTACAGATGTCTAAATGTGTTAAGCGGTTTTCTCATTCCATAACTTCTAAAAGTACAACTACTACTGTGGGTGTGAGTGGGTGAAGTGAGACTTCTTTTTATCTTAGGAGGGGACCCTTATTTGTAAAATGTTGCGAACCGGTGGAATAGAGTCTAAAAATGGTCACTATTTAATCATCACTCCCAGGAACCAAAGATGATTGCTTCTTCCCCTTTGGAGGGCGGTTTGCTCTGGCCACACACTGAAAGAGGCCGCCGTTTTCATTTGCAAGCATCATCCTTGCTGCTTACCCTCATGCTGTGTACATTTATTAAACCATCAATTCATCTGGACATCACATGTTTAGCTCACATATCTCCCTTTCAAAGCTCGTCAGTCCTGATGTGTAAAGCTAAATGTCTCCAGCACAGCTGATTATGTACCATTGCCCTCACCGCTTACCACACAAAATGGGTGCTTTTTCCCTGTGTTCCTGCTCTTACTGTTGGTAAAGTTCCCCACCTAGCTCCCCAATTAGACATGTTGACCCCTTCAGCTCCCTCACCTTTCACATCCACTTGGCCTTGGAGTCCCAAACAGTTTTCCTCTTCAGTGTGCCTCAAAGCCTGCGGTCTGCTCGTGCATCCGGCCTAACTATTTATCCGAGACTAGTTTTTTCAGTGTGTCCTTCCCCTGGAAGAATCGCCACACAAGGCAAGCGGGGAAAAATCTGGCCGTGTCAATCTGCTGCCTCAAATCTTCAGTGCCTCCTTCTTGTCTACAAGATAAAAGTGAGAATCTTCTGTTTGTCATTCAGGACACAGCCCAATCAGGCACCTATCTTCTTCTTTGCTCACACTACGCCTTTTTTATGTGCAATTTGGAGAATTCTTTTTGGTTTTATCTTTTCTACTTAATGCAATCCCACTTCTCTTCCATGATTCATCTAAAGTACATTTTCTCTCGAGAAATTTTCTTGACATGACCAGGAAGGATTCTCCTTGGCCTCATCTATTTCTTTCCTCCATCCCATCACTACTTCTAGTATTAAAGCACATAGTTTATGCTCTTTATTCTCCCTATTTCTTTTCTCTGAGTGGGAACTCCTTGGAGCCGGCATTGGGTCTTCCAAACTCTGGCTATACTGAGCCCACTGTTACCTGAGTCTGCTTCACCCTGTTTGTGAGATCACCCTTTAAATAGGGGTGTCAATAGTTAGTGCCCGTCTTCCTTTCTCCCCTTTGCTACATAGGCAACTCTGCCTCCAATGCTCATCGCAAATGAATTCTGTTTGGTGTGTGTGTGTGTGTGTGTGTGTGTGTGTGTGTGTACGCACACATGCATGTGATTTCAAGTGGATTCATGTGTATGTGCAGAAGCATGTGCATATATGCACACATTTGTATGGAAGCCAGGAGTCAACCTCAGGAGCCGCTTTTTTCTTGTTCTTTTTCTGTGACAGAGTCTCTCATTGGCCCAGAGCTCAGGAAGTATGCTAGGCTGGCTAGCTGGAATGCCCCAGTGATCTTCTGTTTCTCCTCCCCATTGTTAGGATTATAAACACACGCTAACATACCCAATACTTTTGTAAAGATTTATTTATTATGTATGCAGTGTTCTGCCTGCATGTCTGCCTGCAAGCCAGAAGAGGGCACCAGGTATGGTTACGGATGGTTGTGAGCCACCATATGGTTGCTGGGAATTGAACTCAGGTCCTCTGGAAGAGCAGCCAGTGCTCTTAATTGCTGAGCCATCTCTCCAGCCCCACCCCCCCAACTTTTTTGAAAGTGTGTGTTCTGGGGACCAAATTATAGTCCTCATGCTTATGTAGCAAGCACTTAACTGACTGAGCTACCTCCCTAGGCCCTCAAATGCAGCCTCTCTGAATCTGGGTGGTCCCAGATACGCTTTGTGCTCCCCTAACCTAGTCTAGCCTTAATTCTAGTATTTGACACATGAGGATTTTATTATAATTACTAGCTGCTTCTCTAGCCTATGCCATAGTCATTCATCTTTGTGTCCTCAGCACACAGCAGAATAGGTAACAATAACACTTCCTTGGCTAGTGATTAATCTTTTATGGCACACAGTAGCCTGGGATGAACTAGCATATAAGTAACAGTTATCTGTGACTACTTATGTGCACAGCTGGCTGGTCCATACAGCTGTTAGGATATGCTGACTTCATTGGCTTTTTCTAGTCTTGTCTCTAAATATCTCCATATTACTCTTCCAGGTGCTTGATGCTCAAGACTTGGTCTACTGGCAACCCTCACCCTCCATGAGCCTTGGTTCTGATGCAACCTTTGGTCATGCAGGGATGCCCTTATACCCTCCCACGATGTCATGAGTGGCGTGCTGTGGACAGGTTTCATCACAGCAGCAGCCTCAGAAATACCTGTCCCCAGCCTCAGGTAAGTGTCCATTAGTAAAAGAAACGCCTGTGTCAAAAGACTAAAGGTGGGATCTGTGTGAATCTATGTGAGCCCTGTATTTTCTACAGTGCAAGGAAAGACATGTAAATGAAAAGCCTTAGATAGCACAGAGCTTCCTGCAGCCCGCCCCTTATCAGCCATGAGCTAGTTAATGGGGGGGGGTGGAGGCATACAGCGAAGGAAGTTGTCAGGTTAGGCAATCCAAAGTCCCATTGTGACTAATGGGAACCGATCCCATGTTAACCTTCTGCGGGTTAGAGGTCTGGGTGAGATCCTAAAAGAGAATGATACTTCAGAGCATGGCTTAGGGCAGAAAGAGATCCTTCCCTGGCTTTGGGTTCTAAGTAATGTTCTTTATAGTCTTCTGGTTTCTCTCTCATTTGGCTCATCATCTCAAGTCTCCAATCTTCTTTGCAGCTCCTTGTTGTAATAAGAGCGGCGGGCTGCGTCCCCGGCACCCCTGCCGCCTGCACGGCTAGCTTTACCCGAAATAATTACACGGAAACTGTATTCTTTTAAACACTGCTTGGCCCCTTAGTTTCAGCCTCTTAACCCATTTCTATTAATTTATGTAGCACCACGAGGTGCACTTACCAGGGAGATTCTAGCCTATGTCTGTCTGGAGTGGGAGAATCATGGTGACTCCCTGACTCAGCTTCTTTCTCCCAGCCTTCTGTTCTGTTTACTCCACCCACCTATGTTTTAACCTATGAGGGCCAAGCAGTTTCTTTATTGCTTAACCAATGAAATCAACAGATTGATATATGACACTCCCCCATCAGCTCCTGATTCAGCCCTGTTAAGAATTTTCTCTTCTCAGCTAGGAGTCTGGTGATATTAGCGGTAGTGGCGGTGTATGTATGTCTGTGTGTGTGTATGTGTATCTGTCTGTCTGCCTGTTTGTATATTGGTAGGTGGGTGAGAGGTAGTAATTTAGAGAGAGAACCCACCTTTCCTAATGGTGAAGGAGCTCTCGGAGAAACTGTCTGGAAACGAGGGGGACATAGGCACTACTCTGGGTTTCCGCGCCTTGCTTTGGGTTCCGGAGACTGTGAGCCATGAGGAAGCACAATGTATTCTACAGAGTACAGACAAACTGCCCGGCTGAGTCCTTTCTAGGGGCACAGGCAGCAGGTTCGTTTGTAGGGTGACAGGAAAGAGGGAGAACAGCAATAGGGAGAGAATCCAGCTGTTAGGGAAATCATTTGGGGGAAAACTAAGGAAAAGTCAAGATCCAGACAGGAATGAGGAGATGGTCTTTATTAGTCATTTTTGTTTTTGAATTTAGCCAGAGAAAAATTTCTTCCTCTAATATATTCTCAAAGCCAGAGTCAATTTAGAATCACCCAGTAATCTACCTGTTCCTTGGAGTGTGGCTCTCATAGTGTTGCAGTGTTGAGAAGCCCGCGTCTTTCCGAAAGACGTCCTTTGCCCATTACCTCCCAACAAGCTTCCTTACACGGGCAGAGCACATGGGGGTTTGAGTGTGTGGTTGTGAATGGCACAGCAAGTCTGTCCTGCTTCGCTGTAGGTTTCCTGCACTGCTGTTGTCTCAAGGATTAGAGGTGTGGGTAGAGAACCTGTGGATGTGGCGTGAGCAGCAGGTATCTTAGCCACAAAAACCACAAGGGGAAAGCAAGTGATAGGGAAAGGGAAGAAAGCAATTCCTCTCCGTGATTTGCCTAGGAAGTGTCCTTGGCCCTTGGCAGAGGGGAAATGAGGGGAGAACAGGGCGCTAGAGAACAATGCAGGAGCTGGACAGGGATTAGGAAACTAAGAAGAAAGCGCTGAAGGGCATGAAAGGCTAACACTCACGGCGCCCAGCTCATTGTGTGTTCTTCTCCAAAACACAGCCAGGACAGCTTGGTCACGGCTGGGTCACAAGGGGCTGTTCCCAACTCTGGGGCATTCCCAGTCCAAAGGACTTTCTGATACTGGCTTTAGCCCAGTTATCCTAACACAAGTAATGCCTGTAACTAGAAGCCACTCCCCGCTCTTGGCTTGTCCTCCCCTGCCATCCCCCAGTCATCTCGCTTGGCTCCACTGGGGCCCCTAGAAAGGGTCAGGCAGCTGTTGCAGCTATTCCTGTAGGTGGCCCTCAGCACGGAAACAATGCGAAACCGTGGAAAGCCTAGAAGACTGTGGGAGATAAACAGGGATGGGAACAGAATGCTTTTTGGTATAAACATTGTGTTTTCCGAAAGTGCTCAGGGGTGGGGGCTGAGCTCCCGAATGTCAGCCTTTTCCAGGCAAGTCTGCTAAAGAGGGAAACTAGGGGTCATTTCCAGTAGAGCCTCTGCCCCTCCCTCAGTCAGTGCCTTAATGGAAAGGGTTTCCCTCAATCCCACCCAGTATAGCACAGGTTGGCACAGGGGTGTCTCCATCCCTGGCTCTATTCACAGAGCTGCTACATTTCATTGTCCTCTTCCTCCATTAGAGAGCTCAAAGGGATGCCCAGAGCCCATCAGTGTGTCCTCAGGGTACAGAGGTCTACTGGTCATGGCTCTCCCTCTGCCCCTCCGAAGCAGGGCAAAGCACTCCCTTGTTTTCACCCTGGCCTCCAGCGAGTCTTCTGGCCTCTGCACTCATGGAAGATAATCAAATGCAGAGGGATTCTGCCACCCCAGCTTCCCAATGCAGACATTCTGTGACAGAGCAAGGCTTATTTCCCAAGCTCACTCTCCATCAGTGCTTGGAGAAATTGCCTTCAATAAAGCTTATTGCTAAAGTTGTCTTATCTTTTTGTCCACTTCAGGGCAGAGCTGGGCTCGGAGGCAGTGAGTGCTTTGTGTCTTCCACAGAAAGGGAGAAAGTTAGTCAACAGGGGCTGCCCTCTCCACGCCTCTCCTCAGCACCATGGAATGCCCAGTCCCACTCCTGCCCATCTTATGCCAGCCTGGGAGCGAGCCGGAATTCCCCACAACAAAGCTCTGATTCACTGGGTAGGCTCTGACATGGCCGCCCCCTCCAGATTCCTGGGGGGTCAGTAAACAAACAGGGTAGCAGCCCCCCAGCCCGCCTCCTGATCTGGCTCAGCTCTGCCTGTCTCCCTGAGTGGGCTTGCTCAGAGCTCCTTGGGATTCTGCCTGTCTGCAGTCACTAGTCACAGGGTCCAGACTCCCGCTGAGGGAAAGTCATGGAGCTCCGAGGTCCTGCCATGGACACCTCTGGCAGCACAGGTAGGGTCAGCACTCAGGCTGCAAGGTGACTGAGTTCTCAGCTTGTCCCCCAGAACTTGGCAGTTCCTTCGCTTTCCTTTCATGCTGTGGTGTGAACTGGGACTTTACTGGGGTGATTAGTATCCTAAATCTCCTGAAGAGTCTTGTAAGAAGTATTATTTGAAGGCAGAGAGGAGAATCGGGGGAGAATCAGGGGAGAATCGGGGAGTCCCAGCCTCTAGGAGGGCCAGCTAGGTAGGCAAACACAGGTAGACCCCCAGACAAGCATGCTAGTCTCTCTGGGTAGGATGGATCAGGTAAAGATCCCCCTCCTCCAACAATCCCCCTCCCTCCACCCTCTGCTGCCCCCTGGCTGGGTGTTTGGGGCTCTATGCTCATAATGGGTGATTTGATCCAGGATCCCCTAGACCTGTCAGTACTCTCACTGGGTCTTGCCAGTGCCCAGGACAGCAACAGTAGAAACTGAGACTGAGAACCCAATCTCCAGACTGGGCCTCTCGACTGCCGAGCCTGGTCAGAGTCCTTTCTAGTGCAAAATCCAGAATGCTCCTTTCTATCTTTCTCAGTAAATATTCACCTTCCTGACCAGTGCCCTTTTGGAAGATTTCCGGGCTTCTTGACTGTGGTTTGTAGTGTGGGTTAAAACTGATGGAAGGTGACCTCAAAGGCCTAGATCCATCGGAAAGCAGGATACAGGGAATGGGTCGCTTCCTTTGCCTTATCTGCCTTTCCTCCGAATCTTTGTGGGACAGCCCCTCAGCTATATTTTCTGGAAGACTGGGTAAAGTGTGAGTCCCTGTGGACTGAGTCTGTAGCTCGGTGTGAATGCTACGATTGTTCATGTTTGGAGAAATCTCACCAGCTTCATAGTGGATGAAGAGCCCATTTGCACAGTCATCCCAGCAAAATTTCTAGCTGTGCCAGGGGTGGAAGGGCTAGTGAAGGAAGCAGTACTTGGCACTTCTGTGCCTGTGTTAAGAGATCTCCCAGTGAGTGGGACCCTAGAGTCCTTCTGCAGTTCACCCCTTGAATACACACCCACACTAAGTGGGACAGGATTTCTGGACCCTGGGACCAGACTTTCTCTCATCTTGGTCCCTCGTGTCCCACGCTTAGCACAGAACAGGGCATGGAAAAGACCAGGGACCACAGACTTCTTGTGTTTCTGTCCAGGTTAGAGCTGCGGTCCCCATCCCTGTACCTCCTTGGGATGGTGCTGGGGATCCCTGCCTAAGTCCAAAGCTCTTGAACGGGTCTGTTGGAGCCATTGGCCACCTGGAATCATCAGCCATGAATCTGTGTTGGAATGAAATAAAAAAGAAGTCCCACAACCTCCGGTAAGGATTAACAGTTACTTTAGGGATTGACTGGGACAGTATTGGGCTCCTTTGGTCGCTGCAGTTCGTGTGCCCTCCCCCAGTCAACCTCGCTAGCTATTTCTTTCCATCTTTCTCTGGAACCAGAGAAAGAATCCTAGGTTAGAAGTAAGGACATTTCTATCTTAACCTGTTTTATGTGTCATCTTGGGTAAGTTGCTCAAGCTCTCTGAATTTTAGCTTCCACTCGGTTTGGTTTTGTCTGGAGATTGCAGCTGTGGCAGGCTGGGCACTCTCAGCACTCTCTGTAGAGTGCAGGCTGGCCTTGAACCTCAGAGTCACCTTTCCTTTATCTTTCCAGTGCTTGGCTTATAGGCCAGCACTACTACACCTGGCTTTGTTCTTTTGTTTCTTAAGAAAATGAAATAAGTGGAGGGATAAATAATACCTGTCCTCCATACCTCGCAAGGTTGTCATGAACATCCAAATAACATGGGAAAATGCTTTCTAAACTTAAAAGGGTTGATATGTAAAGAAAAATGAAGCAATTGTCCTCGCCTCTCCTTCCTCACGACTGTTCAGCCATGGAGGGTTTCATCTGTGTACTCCCACCCCTTTCTTGTATTTTGTTTTATTTATTTATTTATTTAGATACAGGGTCTCACGTATCCCAGACTGTCCTTAAAACCACTATGTAGCTGAGGACCTAGAGCCTGTGTTCCTCCTGTTTTCACCATCTGAGTATTCAGATTACAGGCATAAACTACCGTGTTCAATTCATGTGGTCACGGAAATCCAACTGGAGTCTGCTAAGCAAGCACTCTACCAACTGAGCTGCCTCTCCAGCTCACTTGTGTCTTTTTGTGTCCTCTTCTCCATCCATGGCTTAGTAGCTCCGGCAGGTGCAAGACAGTAAGAAACTAAAGGCAATTTCTATATGATGTTCTCTTTCTGCCCTTCTATGTATGTCTCATTCTTTCCAAACCTCCATTTCCTACCACCAAAGCCCAAAAGTGTGGCTTCCGGGGGTCTGTGATGAGGTGAGGCAGTGTTGAAAAGCTGGAAGAAAGCAGACTGGAGTGCCAGGTAGACCTGTTTCCAATCACAGAGCTGTGTGCCAGGTAGACCTGTTTCCAATCACAGAGCTGTGTGCCAGGTAGACCTGTTTCCGATCACAGAGCTGTGTGCCAGGTAGACCTGTTTCCAATCACAGAGCTGTGTGCCAGGTAGACCTGTTTCCAATCACAGAGCTGTGTGCCAGGTAGACCTGTTTCTGATCACGGAACTGCTTCAGTCACTTAAGTCTGAGTTATGAACAGTCATTTTTGGAAATAACAATGCCCACCCAATAAGATTGTTGAAAGAACTAGTTGACACCATAATTTAGAAAAAGTTTCTTTTCAGGTACAGGGAAGCAGTGGACAAAGATAGTTGTTAGTGCCAACTAAGAGGAATGGGATTTGCAACTGTTGCAGGCCTTGACCAGCCTCTAACTTCCTATCATTAGACCTTTGGGAGTTGGGGGCAAACAGATATGTGATTATATAATACCTTTTTTTCTTCTGTATTTCCAACCTGTAGCCAGTGTTTTTTTGTCATCTTTTGAGCCTCTTTGGGCTGGTGAGATTCGCTTGCATCCTTGCTCATGTTTGTGCTCATATTCAACCAACCATCCTGCCATTCCCACCAACTGTATTCTATCCTGGGCAGAGCATCCTATGTGACTGAGCGGATTCAGATTTGTCAGGACAAGGGGGCAGCTAGATTGCTATCACCCCTAATGTCCTTGCTGAGTTTCTTACCTTTCCTGGCATGGTGCTGGACTTGCAGTTGAAGTGACCAAGACCCACAAAGTGATGGTTTAAATGCTTTTAATATAGGACTGCTCCCAACCACTGTTTCAAATACTCACACTTGTGGTGGGACCTCAGGAATGTTCATAAGTAGATACAAGGAGAAGGGGCTCCTGAGCCTCCTTCCATTGCAGCTAGAGAAGTTCCTTTGAATCCATGTAGTGTATTAAAGGAAGAATAGATTTTGTTACTTAAAAGGTGATTGAATCGCTGGTCTTACTGCTCCACGCAGCGCTCGCCTAGAGGCCTTCTCAGACCACAGTGGGAAGCTTCAGCTCCCACTCCAGGAGATTATTGACTGGCTGAGTCAAAAGGATGAGGAGCTGTCGACTCAGCTGCCCCTACAAGGGGATGTGACCCTGGTACAACAGGAGAAGGAGACACACGCGGTAAGTCGGACTCCTGGAGGTGTGCTGTGGAGCCTCTCGGCAGGAAGTACCCTTCCCAGTACCCTAACAGATAGGCCCTCAGTTCTCCTCAGACACCTAAAGCAGTAGGTGATGGTCCGCGTCCTAGTCTGGGGCCCGCACTCCATCCGCAGAGTGCGCCACGTCTTGTCATCCAATTTAAACCTGCCTTGATTTATAAGGAGAACATGGACAAATAAGCGTAATATGATGTTTAAAATGCAAACTACATAACTAGAGGTCTCTGTTCCCTAAAATGTGCATAGCTGTGTGTGTATATACAGAGCTGGCATGGTGGGGGAGTACAGCAAGACGATAAAACTGGACATCTCCTTAATTTTGTAATATTCTATAAGTTATAAATTATAGTTTTAAATTTTAATTTATAGTTTTCTGAACTTTTAAATATCCCTGTGACATCACCTCTATAATCAGAAAATGATCAATATCCCTTGGTTCTGTTTGTTTTTGAGACAAGATTTTACTACTTAGACTTGGCTAGCCTCTTACTATGTAGCTCAGACTGGACTCAAACTAATTACAGAAGCCAGGCTGGTCTCACAATGAGTCTTCTAGAAAGCTGAGATCCACTCTGCGTTTCTTCTACTCTATGGCATAGCCAGACTCCTTGCACACTAGTAGACTTCCTAGCCTATGGGGAGGATTAATACTCTCTCCTCCACCCCGGGTAACCCTAAAATACTTAGTAATGCCACAGGACCAAGTTATCTTGAGAAGAAAGGTTGTTGGCACAAGATAAAATAGAAGTGATTGAAAGGCTTTCTTTTCTGGTTGGCTGCAAACCTTTCCAGGCCTTTATGGAAGAGGTCAAGTCTAAGGTATATCTACTCCGTGCTGGAATCGGCTCAGGCTTTCCTGTCCCAGCACCCGTTTGAGGAATTAGAGCAGCCAGATTCTGAGAGTAAAGGTAGGTGGCCTTGCTGTCTTCCCTTGCTTCTTCTTGAACGGTAAGTACTACTAAGCAAACACTTTGTGCCTTTCGCTGGCTCCTTTCTTGCCGCTACTTAGAAAGGTAGTTTTTTCCTGTAAGCTCAAAGTCAAAAGGGGATAAGAATCACAGCTGTAAGAAAATGGAAAGAACCTGAAGCAGGTCTTGCCAACGCGTGTCCTAAAGCTGTATGCGCTCTTCAGAGTATCATTTGTGGCCTTGCAATGAGATATTAGGAAGGAAGGAAGGAAGGAAGGAAGGAAGGAAGGAAGGAAGGGAAGGAAGGAAGGAAGGAAGGAAGGAAGAAAGGAAGGAAGGAAAACCTCAAGTGAATTGAAGGACTATATCCTTGTATCCTTTTGGAACATTGTTTGTCCCCTGAGTGACAACCCAGGGATGTACTTATACCCATGTGGATTTGCACCTTCATCCTCACATTCGCAGAAGATGCTAATGAATGTAGCACAAATTGAAAACATTAGGGAAAAGATCTGATTTATTCTGACATAGAGGGACATTGGCAATACTGGATCAGCCAGCAACTACAAAGCTATCTCAAAGCTGAAGAAGTTAGGTAATGATGACCTTTGAGATAAAAATTGTGGCTTGTCAATACTGACTTGGTGACTTCTGGGTCTGACTTCATAGGGATGGCCATTTTCCATCCTGATTCCAACAAACTGCCAGTGTGACATCCATGGAAATTAAGTTTGAGTGGCAGTCTAGCAAACACCTCCAGGAAGAATCCTTAGCCCGGCCACCCGAAGTGAATAGACCAGAAAGAAGCCTTCATTAGTGGAGTCCTTTGTAGATTCTGTTCACAGGCTCAGTTGATTTCTGGTCTCTCGGTTAGAACATAACTTGCTGCTCAATGGGCCTCAAATAGGGCAAGCTCCAGAGAGAATAAGGCAAGTTCACATAACTTGCGACGATAGATTCTGAGTCTTCTTCCAGCAGGAAGTCTGAGGGCCCAGGAGGAAACCTAAAACTGAGGAGTCCGAGTAGAAAAGCTTGGCACGTTATACCAGATTCCTGGGCTGGGGCTGCCTTTCTTTGGATTTTGGTGAGCAGCAGACACCAGTGCCTCAATCATCCCCTGAGGGTGTGTGAATAGGACCGGATGATTTACCTCGTCACACCTCTTAAAATGTGTTCCTCATTATTTACTTTACCATTTAAAAGCGAGAAAACCTTAATGCAAAAGTGGGAGGAGACTAAAATGGCTTCATGTGGCAGTAGATTCATGATAAAACTGCATAGAACTCTGTGTGTGTGTGTGTGTGTGCGCGCGCGCGCGCGCACTTGCACAAAAATGAATACCAGTAAAAGTAAAACCAGGGAACTCTGAACAAAATTGACAGATTATATCAGTGCCTAAACCCTGGCTGTGACATAATGCTGTCACTTTACAGACATTACCATATCGTCAAGGGTGGTGCAGGAAATAGTCATGGTTTTTCTTTTTTTTTTCTTTTTTTCTTTCTTTCTTTCTTTCTTTTTTTTTTTTTGATTTTTCGAGACAGGGTTTCTCCGTAGCTTTTTTTGGTTCCTGTCCTGGAACTAGCTCTTGTAGACCAGGCTGGCCTCGAACTCACAGAGATCCACCTGCCTCTGCCTCCCGAGTGCTGGGATTAAAGGCGTGCACCACCACCACCCAGTGCCATGGTTTTTCTTATGACCAAAAGCTAATTTATAATAATCTCAAGATGAATGGTTTAATTTTTTTTTAAAAACAATCACTGAATGTGGGTCAGTGAGATGACTCTGTTGTTAAAGGTGCTTGCCCCAGAGTCTGACAACCTGAGTTAGAGCTCTGGGATCCACTTTGTAGAAAGAGAAAGGCAACTTCAGCACACTGACTTCTGACCTCCACACAGGCGTGTAGAAGACACACACACACACACACACACGAACAGACAAAATAAATATATATGCATAAATACATAAGTAAATGTAGTAAGAATTTAAATTTCTGAATATACAAAAGGAGCTCAGCCATGGAAATATATATATGTAAATATGAATATTCATATACAAACAGGCACACACTGGTGTCCCTAACCCCACATTACAGGCAAGCGTGCACATGTATAAAAGGATGACTTTGCTTTAGTCTTTCTCTGGGTTGCCTCTGTCAAGATAGCTTGACTTGGCTTCCTGATTGTACTCACAGATAACTCCCCCAGACAGCGAATTCAGAATCTTAGCCGCTTTGTGTGGAAGCAGGCAACAGTGGCTAGTGAGTTGTGGGAGAAGCTGACAGCCCGCTGTGTGGACCAGCATCGCCACATTGAGCATACTCTGGAACATCTGTTGGAGATTCAAAGCACAATGGAGGAACTGAGCAGTACTCTGACCCAAGCAGAGGGAGTCCGAGCCACTTGGGAGCCCATTGGGGATCTCTTCATTGATTCCCTCCCAGACCATATCCAAGCCATCAAGGTATGTAATGTATGTCTGCTTCCCAGACTACAGTCCTTGCTGCACGACCCGAAGTCCTTTCACAGTGCCGATTCACCTTCTGCTGAGACTTGTTGGTCTGGACCACAGCTGACCCTCTTTTAGTTCTGGGCTAGATTGGGGGCTAGTTTGCCTGTCGCCACCTCTGTGCTTCTGTTTTCTCTTTCCCTGCTTTTCTGAAATGAATAGAATCAAAGGGTAAGGCTAGTGAGCACTCATATCTTAGTCTCTTGCACAAACAGCCAAGTAGCTGGGTGGTGGGGTTGAGACTCGAGCTCTCCATGGGAAAGGCTGGTCAATGAGTAATGTGTCCTCTCTCCTACTCTCTGTCTTCTGTGGTACTTGGGTTCTGGCTTTCTAGCTATTCAAAGAAGAATTCTCTCCTGTGAAAGATGGAGTGAAGTTAGTGAATGACTTGGCCCACCAGCTTGCCATTTCTGATGTGCACCTGTCAATGGAGAACTCGAGGGCTCTGGAACAGATCAACATGGGGTGGAAACAGCTCCAGGTAGAGGAGCCTCCTGAAATGAGTTTTGGGGACGCATCTTGGTATGGCCAGGATTTGGGGGGAAGTGTACGCAGGCCCAAAGGATACCATGGGTTTGGAAGTGAAACCTACACGGAAAAAGAATAGTAGAGAAAAAAAAAGAATAGTAGAGAATTAGGAGTCAGGAAATAAACTGCTCAACCTCTAAGTTGCGGGAAGTGGTTGAACAAGAAGAATGAGAGGCGCTTGTCTAGATTTCAGTACACTGGTTAGACTGGAGAGAGTTACCACGGCTCAGAACTAGCGAGGCTGTTCTCCCATCCTTAGCAATGCGAGAGGAGGATGGGAGTTGGGTGGCTGTGATGGAACTGGACCAGGAGAAAGGGCGGCCTGTGAGAGAGCTCATAAAGATTCTTGGAGGCACCTGCAGATTCCACACCGAATGGCTGGAAGTAACCCACTGTTCTTTCCGCAGGCGTCAGTTGCTGAGAGGCTTAAGCAGCTCCAGGATGCCCACCGGGACTTTGGGCCTGGGTCACAGCACTTCCTCTCGAGTACGTGAGACAAACTAGACTTCATGTAGCAGAACCTTAGCCATTTGACAAGAGAATCTGCTGTTGTCCACTAGGGGGTCTGGTGGAAGCCCAGTATATCTCGGCATCCAAGAAGCAATAAGGAAAAGGCTGTGCAGTGTGGTGGTAGGAAGAGCAGCCTCCCCAGTCGGAGAGAGCTGAGTTTTACTCTTAAGAGCTGTGCAAATCTGAAAAAAAAGTGTAATCTTTTTTAACCTCACCTTTCCCATCTGAAAAGGGGGAGATTTCCTTGTTCTTTTAATATATTTTTATTAATTTTTAATATTAAATAAGGTTTTAAATATTAAATAAGGTTATTTGTGCGACAGTTTTGCTGTGAACCTGGTACTTTTCTGGGCACAGGGGCCATGCTGGTGGAAAAAAACACACAGACAGGAACCTTAGATTAGGACAGCTTGCATTCTAGTGGAGGAAACAGGTCATAGGTGAATCAATAAACAAGTGTAAGAGAAATCTGTGGCAAGTGCTATGGAAAATATGGCTAAAGCTAGAAAGGCATGCCCAGGGAGGAATAGACTTAAAGGAAAGAGCCACTGAAGAAGTCCCAAGTGGAGGGTGACAGTCTTACCGTCCTAAAGGCAATGAGAGAATAAAGCATGTGTCTAGTAGGAAGAGCTCCCATTGAGAAGGTGGCAGCTTTACAGAGTTCTAAGGGCAGTGAAGGAATAACCACATGGATAGCTGAAGGAGCACATGAGGCAGAAATGCAAGGTCTTGAAAGCAGGGGATCCGGAGGTGTGCTAAGGAGAAGCCAGGAGACCTCTGGAGAAAAACGCAGAAGAAAGACCAGAGAAATGGCTCAGGAGGCCTTGCAGGTAAAAGTTAAGACCTTGAGATTTTATTCCAGATGGAACAGAGAATTCTTGATAGGGTTTGAAGAGTGGGGGTGACATGATCTGAGTTCCATCTCAGCGTGATGTTCAGAATACATTGTCGGGGACCAGAGTGGGAACAGAGAGAGCTCTCAAAAATGTGCTGTACGATAGTCCGTGTGAAGGGTGACACTGGCCTAGACCACAGAGGTAGGAATGGAGGTGATAAAAATATACAAAAAGGAAAGTTGGGTGTCCATACAAGGCAGGAACATAGTATTTGGCATGTAGAAAGAGCTCAATAAACGTGATTAGAACTATTGCCTTATAGCTGGTTCCACATAGTTGTATCTGCAGAGGATTCCTATATTCAGAAAAATTGCACTGAGTGAGCAGGTAAGCCAGGTGAGCTGAGCCTTCCCGTTAAGATCTCAGTGACATAGACAGAGGGTTGAAAGAGAGCTTTATAAAAGAGAGATAGATGGGCAGTACCACCTCCTCTCCCCCAACCCCAGATCTGAGAGGGGAAAGGCTTTAAGTCTCGTGACACAATTGTATTTCATAGCCACAAGGGAAGTCCAGTAACCTGCATCTGGACAGGTAAAAAAGACAGTTTGCTTAGGGTGAATATTAAGGTTATATTCCAGCCCTGTGTCTGCTTCAAAAGGGCATCAGTGACAACCTCTTCCCCTTCTCTTGTCCCAACATCAAGGAGCAGTGTGTTTCTTGGAGTGTCTCTCCCTGGGAGCTGTTAACAGTTGGAAGTGAATGTTACTTCCTTTTATGTTTAACTACCTTTGAGGAAGGATAGAACATAAGAATGGCCAAGGCAGTGGCACACACCTTTAATCCCAACACTCAGGAGGCAGAGACAGGTGGGTTTCTGTGAGTTCGAGACCAGCCTGGTCTACAGAGTGAGTTCCAGGACAGTCAGGGCTGTTGGGGGGGGGGGGTGGCAGGATGGACTGGAGAGTACTGCCTTTTGCGGAGGAAAAAGGTTCAATTCCTAGCCCTCACATGGCAAGGCCTAGCCACCTCTAAGTCCAGTTCCAAGGGATCTAATGCCCTCTTCTGGCCTCTGTGACACTAAGCATACAAGTGGTGCAAACTCATTCATACATGCAGGCAAAGCACTCACATAAAATGAATTCATCTAATTAAGAAATTTAAGAGTGGTCAGGATGCTTGGAGAATACTAGTGGCCAGCTTTTTTTTCTCTTGTCTTTTACCAGCTTCTGTCCAGGTTCCCTGGGAAAGAGCAATTTCTCCCAATAAAGTCCCCTACTACATCAAGTGAGTGATCATCAGAACCAGGAGCCGGTCAGTCACCTGCCTGTCCCTTCCATCACCTGCCTTTTGCTTTCCTAACTCTGTGCCTTGAATTTCCCCTGCTTAGTCTAATGTTTCCTCCAACTTGTCAGAAGTGCTTAAGGTTCTGCCCGGTTGATGGTGAACTCTGGTGTATTAGGATCTTCAGAGTTCATCGTTGCTCTGTGCAGCTTCTTGCAACCCACCCTTCACTGACTAATGGGTGTGTGCCTGCAAAGAGTGTTGGGAATGTGATGTTGGTGCTATTGATGCTTTTGTTTGCAGCCACCAGGCTCAGACCACGTGGGACCATCCCAAGATGACTGAGTTATACCAAACTCTAGGTGAGAATGCAAGCTTCCTATATGGGGTGGGAATATGTACAGTTATCTTTGTCCTATACACCATCAATGTATGAGTGCATGAAGAACATGTACTGATGCACAAAATGGAACAATACTCTTTAGTCTTAAAACAACACCATTGGATGATATGGATAAGGCCAAAGAATGTTATGCTAACTGAAATAAGGGCTTGAAAAGAAGATCAAACCCTGAATGATTCCACTTATATAAGGAATTTAAGATAGTCAGATTCATGGACTCAGAGAGGAGAATGGTGGCTGTCAGAGGCTAGGAGAGGAGGAAACAAAGAGGTAATTGGTCATAAGCCACAGTTTCAATTATGCCACAAGAATAGGTCCTAGGGATCTGCTATATGACGTAGTGAATATAGTTAATAGTACTATTTTCATGTATCAAAGTGGAAGAGAATAATCTTACGTTAAGATGTTCTTACCAGCAACACACCACTACTCGTAGTAAGGTTGATAAATAAGAAGGTGGAAGGAAACTTTGGTAAGAATGGATAGGTTTATGGCACAGATTGTTGTGATAGCTTACGCTGTATACTTACCACCAAACTTATCAAGCTATATATATTAAATACATGCCTGCTTTCTAGTTGCCAATTTCCATGTTGCTTCTTGCATGCCCACTGTACTTCAGTAAGGTCATTTTTAATAGGGTAGAACAGCTCCTCTGCATCTTCCTCTACAGCACAGTCTCCATGTTCGCCTGGACCAGTTTAGCATCATTAGGGAGCTAGTCTTGAAGACATGAATTCCAATCTGATTAGAAAAGCAGTCTCTGGTGATGTGGGAGTGTCATCTATCTGTTGCTTTCATTGGTTAATTAATAAAGAAACTGCTTGGCCTTTGATAGGCCAGCCTTTTGGTGGGTGGAGTAGACAGAACAGAATGCTGGGAGAAAGAACCAGAATCAGGCAGTCACCATGATTCTCCCACCTGACACAGACGCAGGTTAAGATCTTTCCTGGTAAGCCACACGTCGTGGTGGTACACAGATTATTAAAAATGGGTTAATCAAGATGTGAGAATTAGCCAGTAAGAGGCTAGAGCTAATGGGCCAAGCAGTGTTTAAAAGAATACAATTTCTGTGTAATTATTTCGGGTAAAGCTAGCCGTGCGCAGCTGGGCGGGAAAGCAGCCCACCGCAGCTCCTACAACACTCTGGTCTGCAATCATGAGACTCGTTCCTGCCTTGTCTTTGCTTACGAGGAGAAATAGAGCGTATGTCACAAGTTTACCCACGTGGCTACAGCTAGAACGCTTTCACTGCTATAGGGGATGCCTTTGGACATAGCCTTTCTACCCACTATATTGCTGACGGGCACATGGGTCCCTAGTTTAGAGTGAATATGTACAATGCTTCAGAAGATTTCCTGTACATGGCTTCTGGCACATGTGTGCAGAGCTTTTTCCAGAGCATGCTTTTAGTATGTAGGTAATAACATTATTTTAGCATGTTACATTAATCTTCAAAAACTGAAATAGATGAGGAACTATCAGCGGGCAAGGGTCAGATTTGATATTAATTTTATGTTTTTATTTTATTAAATCTAGGAAGGAATTGCTTTCTGAAATGTGTATATGTTGGATCATGATATAAAATCCATTTCTTACTGTGAGCCTTAGTAAAGAAGTGTTCGCATATCACTTCTGTAGAATATAGCTGCTCTGACGGCAAGACAAATGTGCTCCACTTTACTGGATAACACGAAGCTGTGCTCCTGGTGGCCACACGAGAGCACACTTTTACTAACAACCCTCACCCCTGCATCTCACGGTTGACATTTGGCCTTCGTTACACTTCTCTGATCTAAGTGAGTCTCTTTCTGCTTTTTGCAGCTGTTCTGAACAACATTAAGTTCTCAGCTTATCGGACGGCCATGAAGCTCCGCAGAGTCCAGAAGGCCCTGCGCCGTATGTCCTCAGTTGTTCTTCCTCGTGCCTTTCACCCTTGTACTCCTCTTCCTCGCCTGGCTGCCTCTTGCTATTTGCATCCCACCCTGGCTGGCCCGAGTCATTGGTTGCTTTGATGGGAACTCTCCAAATACTGGGACATATTGGCTGTGAAAACGTGATCTTTCCATTGACTCCAAGGCCCAGCCTTGTGTTCAAAGTAACCCCACAGCGATCCAGTTCCTAGTCCCTTTTCCTTAGCCAGCTTAGGTAATCAAGAAACTGCTTTGCAGCAGACAGGGTCTGCTTCATGGTTTGCCATCTGGGGGTTATTAGATATAGCAACAGAAGGGTTAAAAGCAAGTATCCGTAGTTGGTTGTCAGCGTGCTGCGGATGTCCTGTCCCTTCTGGCCTTGCCCAAGAGTCAAACTGCCTGTCCCAGGTGTCTAGTTAGACATCACAGGTAATCAAAATATTTTCCTGGTGAATATTTTCACATTCACTCAGCCGTGCATGACCCTTTCCAAGCAGGACTAAGCTTCCTAGAACAGGGCTCATGGACAAACCTGTTTTCAGATGAAACTGATGTTGGGCTGAGGGTTGAGCTCGGGGATAGAGGGCCCATTATGAGAGAGACCAGGGCCTCAGTCCTTTGTACCTGTGAAATTAGTTTAAAAGATAAGAAAAAAAAAACCTTTTGCAAACAGAGAAACTTAAACGGGGATGTGATCCCCTGGGAGTTAGTACAACACAGGCGGTGCGCTTATTCACATTTCGCCATTTCCTCAAAACTGGTGTGAAAGACCTGATGTACACAGACATGTGCTACAGTGGGGTGACCCCTCCTGCCTTGCTCTTCCATGGGTTGGGGGGTCATGGTAAAGAATAAGTTTATGGCATATCTGCGAATGATTGGTCTGGAGCTGGCACCAGATTGGGTGACACCTTGCCTCATCAGTTCCCTGCTTCTTCTTGGGGCTGCATTTTCCTTTTCTTCCTTCCTTTCCAGTGGATCTGGTAACTTTGACTACAGCTCTGGAGGTCTTCAATGAGCACGATCTGCAGGCCAGTGAACATGTGATGGACGTGGTGGAGGTCATCCACTGCCTGACTGCCTTGTATGAGCGACTGGAGGAGGAAAGAGGCATCCTAGTCAATGTGCCACTGTGTGTGGACATGAGCCTGAACTGGCTTCTCAATGTTTTTGATAGGTAAAGGCTTTTGGCCCTGGAAACCATCTCCCAAATCAATCCAATGGGGCATGTCCACTGGCTGTGGTGGGAAGGGCTTGCTCCCATGGTCTACTTGGATGGGTTCAGCTTAGGGCATGGTTGGCTGCCGGGTCGAATCAGTGAGGGAAAAGACTGCCAAGATATCCATGTCCTCTGTCTCTTCCTTTAAACCTAGTGGTCGCAGTGGGAAGATGAGAGCATTGTCCTTTAAGACTGGCATCGCGTGCCTGTGTGGCACCGAAGTGAAAGAAAAACTTCAGTGTGAGTGTAACTCCAGCATCTGCAGTGATGCTGGGGGGAGGGGGTTGCAGGAGAGGCAGGAGGGAGAACAGCAAATACGCAGAATTTTTGTCTTTGGACTCCGCAGAGGAGTACTCACACCACCTGGTGATGTTTTCAGTCCCCCTGTGTATTTTCTAGGCCTTAGGTGAGGTTCGAAGCAATGGATGATACGGCCAGAGGTGGGTTGCTAAGGTTGTTGGCTTGGGCTAGAGGAGGTTTTAGAAGAGCTGTCCTATCTTGAGGGTGGGGAAAGCTGCCTAGTGCGTGTTCCCACACCCAGGAGGCATCCGCTTCCCCAGTACTGTAACATCTGTGCCCGGTACTGACTGTGCTACTTAGCGCTCTTTCTTTCTTTCTTTCTTTTTTCTTTCTTTTTTCTTTCTTTCCTTCTTTCTTTCCCTCTTTCTCTCTGTCCCTCCCTCCCTCCCCCTCACACACACAGACCTCCTTTCCTCTCCCTTTTCTTTCTTTCTTTCTTTCTTTCTTTCTCTCTCTCTCTCTCTTTCCTTCCCCTCTCCTTATCTCCCCCCACCTCCCCATCAATATCTATCTGTCAGTTTCTTTCTCTTTTCTGTTCTCCTCCTGTGCTCTACCTCTTCATCACTCTCTCCACTCTGCTCTTTCCCTCTCTGTCCCTTTCCCCCTCCCTTCCTCTCCCATTGATGCTGCCCTATTTGTGTCTGTCTAGTTCCCCTACCCCAAACTCAGGAATGCTCTTTTTAAAACCCTTGAAGTTGAGATTGGAGGTGAATTTCTGGATTTTCTGGTTTCAAAAATCATTAGTTCAGCAATGTGCTTTTTCTCTGTCTTCCTTTTCCGGTTCTTCCTCCTCACATCATTCTCTGGCCATTCCTAAATTGGGGCTGGCTATTGTTGATGACGGGCCCAGCAGACCTCTTCAGCCAAGTGGCCAATTCAGGCAGCCAGTGTGACCAACGCCATCTTGGTGCCCTGCTTCATGAAGCCATTCAAGTGCCCCGTCAGCTGGGCGAAGTGGCAGCGTTTGGGGGCAGCAACGTGGAGCCCAGTGTCCATAGTTGCTTCCGTTTTGTAAGTATGGAGCTGTAGACTCGAGAAGGAAGGAATGCGAGATGAAAGGGATGGTGAGAATGGAAGGGGGTTGGAACCAGCATCTCATGGTGCCAAGTGCTCCGAGGTAAAGGAGCTTTGTTGAGGTGGGACAAGAGAACGAACGGCTCTCTGGAGTATGGTGCTGGGGTCCTGCAAGGAAGATTGTCTGTTAAGATAAGGCAGAAGGTAGACACGCTTCTGGAGGGGTGCTGGTTCCCCTGCTTCACTAAGAGCTGCCTGGCATGCAAGCAGCGTGGTACTTGAACCCAGTCATATCCACTGGATTTCTTATTCCTCTAGAGCACTGGCAAGCCAGTCATTGAAGCTTCCGAGTTCCTAGAGTGGGTCAACTTGGAGCCGCAGTCTATGGTGTGGCTGGCCGTTCTGCATCGGGTCACCATCGCTGAGCAAGTAAAGCATCAGACCAAGTGCTCTATCTGTAGGCAGTGCCCCATCAAGGGGTTCAGGTATGGGACTGAACACCTGCTGGGGTGAGAAAAATGCCATGGGGTGCAACAATGGCTACAAAATTGCATTGGTTAATGATTATATTTTACAGTCTGTTTATGCTGTGTTATTGGTGTATTATTGTAAGATTTTTATTGAAAAATGTTTAACTTCTGAGAAATTAAATAGGAAATACTTTTGCTCTAGATGTAATACAAAGTACTACAGGTTTTTAGAAATATATAGTAAACATTATTTAAAAAATCTATGTACCAAATGTTGAGTCAGCAGATATTTCACCATCAACTGCAGAGAAAGAAGGGGAAAAAAGAACCCTAATTTAGAGCATTTGTAATATAAATACTTCCATCACAAGTGAACAACAGGGTACACGCAAAAGATCCCAGTGAAGAATTGGAAAGAGACAGATTCACGTGTGCAGTTTATAGCATTTCTACCATGCAGATGAAGTTAACAAAACCTAAAAGAGTTCCCTAATCTAAAACTCTGAGGGACTGGAGAGATGGCTCAGAAGTTAAGAGCAATGGCTGTTCCCCCAGCGGTCCCAAGTTCAATTCCCCAGCACCCACATGTTGGCTCATAACCATCTATCCTAGGATCCAATGCCCTCTTCTGGTGTACATACAAAGAACGCATACACATAAAATACGTAATAAATAAATCTTTAAGAATATGAGATTTGTTGGCAATGCCCCATCAAGAATTTCTGGGTTAGAAGACACTCTGCCAGCAAAACCTGAGCAAACATGGCAAGCATTTCCCATAGAAGAAACCCAACCAGTGCCATAGATGTAAATGGTCTCATAGGTGCAAACGACCAGCAGCTATGCAGCTGCGGATGGCTACAAATGCAGCCCGACACAAGATCATAAACCCCCAAACTTCATGAGGTTTGTTGTAAGTACACATTCCTCTCAGCTGTGAACAGCATCAATGGCAATAAGTTACAGTGTCGAGCGCCCACAGCGCGACTTAATGCACAGCCAAGCTTAGGGGATGAAACACGATTGAAATTCATTTGAAGCCTCCCCGATTATAGCCCACTCCTTCCTCTGCAAAGCTAACTGAGCTCATAAAATGCCTACAGTTTGTCAGTATGCTGTTGAGGACAGAACCCAGGGTCTTGGACATGCTAGGCAAGCACTGAGTGCCGGTCTCAATACAGTCAGCCTTTTAGCTTTTTAGACTACCAGCATGCAACTGTCCCTGCAAACACTGTGCTTCTTTTAACTTGAGCGAACTAGACCCAGAGGGAAAACATGACTGCCCAAAAATAACCTGGCTGTTTAGCTGTAAACACCGAGATTGTAAACACTGGGTTGTCAGAGTCTAGGCATTCTTTGGTGCTGCTAGGACCGGGGGAATTTAGCTTGCCTTTACCCAAAGATGGGAAGGACTGTTCTTTGTTCTGTCATAATATAAGTAGAGCTATTATAGAAAACCTTTGAAAACAACCTTCAGCCAACTTAGGCACAGCTAATGAACAAACAACCTTCATATTGGAGGTCTGACTTCTCCAGGGTAGGGAGGGTACATGGGGCCATCCTTGTTTAGAAACCTACCACATGACAAGTTTATTCCTCCTGGCCCCCTTTTGACCCTGGCTGAAGCAATGCCCTTTCCCACTCTTCCTGGGATCTAGGACTTGGCATTTCATTGGGGATTGGTGGTCTGTGGAATAAGGCTATTTCACAGGTTGACGATATCACACGGCTAGGTATAGCCGGTTGCGTACCACTCCCTTCTGTATGCGTATCTGAATGGGGAAATGGTGAGGTCACTGTGGTCCACTGGATTGTCTTTGTGACCATGTCTTCTCTTCCACAGGTACCGGAGTCTGAAACAGTTTAACGTAGATATCTGTCAGACCTGCTTCTTGACAGGCAGGGCCAGCAAAGGCAATAAGATCCACTATCCCATCATGGAGTATTACATGCCAGTATGCAGCCTCTGCGCCAGTGGGAGGGGTGGGCATCTCTCAGAAGATAGGTGGGAGGGGTGGGCATCTGTCAGACACTAGATGGGAGGGGTGGACACCTCTCAGACACTAGTTATGAGGGGTGGGCATCCCTCAAACACGAGCTTTTGGTCCTCTACACTAGGTGGAAGTGGTAGGCATCTCTCAGACACTAGGTGGGAGGGGTGGGCATCTCTGAGAAGCTACTTGGGAGGGAAGGGCATCTCTCACACACTGGGTGGGAGGGGTGGCCATCTCTTAGACAATAGGTGAAAGGGTAGGGCATCGCTCAGACACGAGCCCTTGGTCCTCTACACTAGGTGGGTAGGGTGCGCATCTCTCAGACACTAGGTGGGAGGGGTAGGCACCTCTCAGACACAACGTGGGAGGGGTAGGCACCTCTCAGATACCATGTGGGAGGGGTGGGCATCTCTCAGACATGATACCTTGGTCCTCTACAGCAGGTCGGATGGGTTAACATTCCTCAGACACTAGATGGGAGTGGTGGGCATCTCTCAAACAATAGTTGGGAAGGGTGGGCATCTCTGAGACACTAGGTGGTAGGCAAGGCATCTCTCAGACACTAGTTAGGAGGGGTGGGCATCTCTCAGACGCTAGGTGGTAGGAGTGGGCATCTCTCAGACATGAGAACTTGGTCCTCAACACTAGGTGGGAGGGGTGGGCATCTCTCAGACACTAGGCAAAAGGGGTGGGCACCTCTCAGACACTAGGTGGGAGGGGTTGGCATCTCTCTCACACTAGGTGGGAGGGGTGGGCATCTCTCAGACACAACGTGGGAGGCGTGGGCAACTCTCAGACACGAGGTGGGAGGGGAGGGCACCTATCAGACACTAGGTGGGAGTGGTGGGCATCTCTCTCACACTAGGTGGGAGGGGTGGGCATCTCTCAGACACTAGGTAGAAGGCGTGGGCAACTCTCAGATACTAGGTAGGAGGGGTGGGCATCATACACACTAGAGGGAGGGCTGGGCATCCCTCAAACCCGAGCCCTTGGTCCTTTACACTAGGTGGGAGGGGTGGGCACCTCTCAGACACTAGGTGGCAGGGCTGGGCATCTCTCAGACACAAGGCCTTGGTTCTCCACACCAGGTGGGAGGTTTGGGAATCTCTCTCACACAAGGTGGGAGGGGTGGGCATCTCTCAGACACTAGGTGGGAGAGGTGGGCACTTCTCTCACACTGGGTGGTAGTGGTGGGCATCTCTCAGACACTAGGTCGGAGGAGTGGGAATCTCTGAGACACTGGGTCGGAGAGGTGGGATCTCTCAGATATTAGGTGGGAGGGGCGGGCATCTCTCACACAATAGGTGGGAGGGGTGGGATCTCTCAGACACTAGCCCATGGTCCTCTACACTAGGTGTGAGGGGTGGGCATTTCTCAGACACTAGGTGGGAGGGGTGGGCATCTCTCAGACACTAGGTGAGAGTGTTGGGCACCTCTCAGACACTAGGTGTGAAGGGTGGGCATCTCTGAGACATTAGGTGGGAGGGGTGGGCACCACTCAGACACTCGGTGGGAGGGGTGGGCGCATCTCACACACAAGGTGGGTGGTGTGGGCATATCTCTCACACTACATGGGCGGGGTGGACACCTCTCAGACACTAGGTGGGAAGGGTGGACATCTCTCAGACATGAGCCCTTGGTCTTCTACACTAGGTGGAAGGGGTGGGCATCGCTCAAACACTAGGTGGGAAGGGTGGGCATTTCTCAGACAGTGGCCCTTGTTCCTCTACATTACGTGGAAAAGGTGGGCAACTCTCAGAAACTAGGTGGGGGGCGGAGGCATCTCTCAGACACTAGGTGTGAAGGGTGGGCATCTCTCAGACACTAGGTGGGAAGGGTGGGCATCTCTCAGACACTAGGTGGGAGGGGTGGGCATCTCTCACACACTAGGTGGCTGGTGTGGGCACCTCTCTCACACTACGTGGGAGGGGTGGACACCTCTCAGACACTAGGTGGCAGGGGTGGGCATCTATGAGACACAAGGACTTGGTCTTTTACACCAGATGGGAGGGGTGGGCATCACTCAAACACGAGGTGGGAGGGGTGGGCATCTCTCAGACACTAGGTGGAACTGGTGGGCGTCTCTCAGACACTAGGTGGGAGGGGTGGGCATCTCTCAGACACTAGGTGAGAGGGGTGGGCATCTCACAGACACTAGGTGTGAGGGATGGGCATCTCTCAGTCACAAGGTTTGAGGGGTGGGCATTTCTGACACAAAGGGGGGGATGGGGCTCTAGCAGACACAATATGGATGAGTTGGTATCTCTCAGACACTTGGTGGGAGGGGTGGTCATCTTTCAGACACTAGGTCGGATGGGTGCGCATCTCTTAGACACGAGCACTTGGTCCTCTCACTAGGTGGAATGGGTTAGCATTTCTCAGACACAAGGTGGGATGTGTGAGCATCTCTCAGACACTAGGTGGAAAGGGTGGGAATCTCTCAGACACAAGGTGGGAGGGGTGGGCACCTCTTAGACAATAGTTGGGAGGGGTGGGCATTTCTCAGACACGAGCCAGTGGTCCTCTACAATTGGTGGGAGGGGTTAGCATTTCTCAGACGCTAGGTTGTAGGGGTGGGCATCTCCCAGAAACTACGTGGGAGTTGTGGGCACCTCTCAGACACTAGGTGGGAGGGGTGTGCATCTCTCAGACATGAGCCCTTGGTTGTCTACACTGGGTGGGAGGGGTTAGTGTTTCTCAGACTCTAGGGGAAGGGTTGGACGTCTCTCAGACACTAGGTGAGAGGGGTGGGCATCTCTTGGACACAAGGGGGGAGAGCTGGTCATCTCTCAGACAATGGATGGATGGGTGTGTATCTCTCAGACACTAAGTGGGAGGTGTGGGCACCTCTCAGACACTTGGTGGGAGCGGAGGGCATCTCTCAGATGCTAGGAGGTAGAGGTGGACATCTCTCAGACACTAGGTGGAAGGCGTGGGCACCTCTCGAACACTAGGTGGGAAGGGTGGGCATCTCTCAGACACTAGGTGGGAAAGGTGGGCTTCTCTGAGACACTAGGTGGAACTGGTGGGCATCTCTAAGACACTAGGTGGGAGGAGTGGGCATCTCTCAGACATGAGCCCTTGGTCCTCTACACTGGGTGGGAGTGCATAGTGTTTCTCAGACTATAGGTGGGATGAGTGGACATCTCTCGGAAACAAGGAGGGAGGGCTGGGCATCTCTCAGACACTAGATGGACGGGTGGGTATCTCTCAGACACTAAGTGGGAAAGGTGGGCACCTCTTAGACAATAGGTGAGAGGGCTGGGTAACTCTCAGACACTAGGAGGGAGCCGAGGGTATCTCTCAGACGCTAGGTGGTAGGGGTGGGCATCTCTCAGACACAAGGGGCCAGGGGTCGGCATCTCTCAGGCACTAGGTGGGAGGGGTGGTCATCTCTCAGACACTAGGTCGGATATGTTTTCATCTCTCAGACACGAGCCCTTGGTCCTCTCACTAGGTGGGATGGGTTAGCATTTCTCAGACACAAGGTGGGATGTGTGAGCATCTCTCAAACACTAGGTGGGAGGGGTGGGTATCTCACAGACACTAGGTGGGAGGGGTGGACACCACTCAGACAATAGTTGGGAGGGGTGGGCATCTCTCAGCCACGAGCCCGTGGTCCTCTACAATAGGTTGGAGGGTTAGCATTTCTCAGACGCTAGGTGGTAGTGATGGGCATCTCTCAGAAACTAGGTGGGAGTTGTGGGCAACTCTCAGACACTAGGGGTGATGGGTGGACATCTCTCAGATATGAGCCCTTGGTTCTCTACACTGGGTGGGAGGGGTTAGTGTTTCTCACACTCTAGGTGGGAGGGGTGGGCATCTCTCAGACACTAGGTGAGAGGGATGGGAATCTCTGTGACACAAGGGGGGAGGGCTGGTCATCTCTCAGACAATAGATGGATGGGTCGGTATCTCTCAGACACTAAGTTAGAGGGTGGGCACCTCTCAGACACTAGGTGGGAGCGGAGGGCATCTCTTAGACTTTAGGTCGTAGGGGTGGACATCTCTCAGACACTAGGTGGGAGGTGTGGGCACCTCTCAGACACTAGGTGGGAGGGGTGGGCATCTCTCAGACACGAGCACTTGGTCCTCAACACTAAGTGGAAGGGGTGGGCACCTCTCATACAATAGATGGGAGGAGTGGGCATCTCTGAGACAATAGATGTGAGGGGTGGGCATCTCACAGACACTAGGTGGGAGTAGTGGGCATCTCTCAGACACTAGGTGGGAGGGGTGGGCATCTCTCAGACATGAGCCTTTGGTCCTCTACACTAGGTGGTAGGGGTGGGCATCTCTCAAACACAAGGTGGGAGGGGTGGGCATTTCTGAGACAGGAGCCCTTGTTCCCCTACACTAGGTGGAAGGCGTGGGCATCTCTCAGAAACAAGGTGTGGGGCGTGGGCATCTCTTAGACACTAGGTGGGAGGGGTGGGAATCTCCCAGACACTAGGTGGGAGGGTTGGGCATCATTCTCACACTACGTGGTAGTGGTGGGCCTCTCTCAGACACTCGGTTGGAGGGGTGGGCATCTCTCAGACACTAGGTGGGAGGAGAAGGCATCTCTTAGACGCTAGACTTTTATCCTCTGCACCAGGTCGGTGGGTGGGCAAGTCTTACACACTAGGTGGGGGGTGTGGGCACATCTCTCACACTACGTGGGAGGGGTGGAGACCTCTCAGAGACCAGCGGGGAGGGGTGGGCATCTTTGAGAAATAGGCGTGAGGGGTGGGCAATAATCAGACACTAGATGGGAGGGGAGGGCATCTCTCAGACACTAGGTGGGAAGGGTGGGCATCTCTCAGACCCTACTTGTTAGGGGTGGGCATCTCTCATACACTAGGTGGGAGGGGTGGGCACCTCTCAGAAACTAGGTGGGAAAGGTGGGCATCTCTCAGACATGAGCCCTTGGTCCTCTACACTAGGAGGAAGGGGTGGGCACCACTTAGACACTAGGTGGG